GCTTGTTTAGAATGTGTGACTAGGCCCTGTGACTTGACACTGGTTGTGTACACACTCGCTGCTTCTCTTCTTAGCTGCCCTCTCTTTTGTCTGTTGTCGCTGCCAACGGTGCTAGTCTCGACCTGTGACTGTTTGTAGCTGGTTTGTTAGACGAAAGCGGTGTCGAGGCGACGTTCTGTCGCTGCCACAATGTGCTGAGCCTGCCGAAGCGATTGAGGAACTTTAAGGCTAAATGTCTAGCTCATGTTCAATATTCAAATTTATATGTAACGTAGTTGACGATACTGTTTTGTAGGGCACACTTTCATTGGTTCGAAAGATGTCTGCTGCGTTCTTACCTAAACAAATGTGCACTACCCCGTCCAACAAGGGCGGCAATATGACGAAACATGTTGCGTGGTACTGTCAGCGCCGCCTATGTGCGCCGACCGTAAAACGTGTGCTCGTTGCACCATTTTTTTTCTTTGTCCCTTTGTTGTCTGCTAATGAACATTGGCCAGTGCACTGGCCGTCCTGCTAGCAGACGATACACGGGTGAGCAACGACGCAACGAGCGCACGTCTCGTCAGAGCAAACTTGTAGAGAGTGAGGGAGAGGAGAAAACTGTTTTCCTCCTCTCTCTCATTCTCTACCCGTATTACGGAGGCGACGTGTCTTGGTGGTCTGCCCTTAAATGCAGAACGCTGCCATGGCATGTACCAAAGGGGCTACAACCTGGCATAGCGTCTATCGGTCCCGTATTTCGCCCGTGCATGTGTAAGGGTGCTCGAAGAAAGTGTGAAAAACGTCCGAGGAAAGGCGGGAAGCCTAAGAACAACCGTTATGGCTACTTTCTTTAATCACTCGTTCGCATCAGCCTCATCGTTCCTCAAAAGCTTTTGAAGGGTTCGCTTCTGTAGAGAAAATGATTGTGCTGTTGATTTTTTTTTTTCCGGTCCCTTTTTTTCGTAGCGGAGGAGTTTCACATGTGCATGGTGGTGTGTCTTACAACAGACAGACCGCTGTCCCGATCGGTCCTCGTAGGGGACGCGGACCACTCTAGGTTGTGTGCTTGCCCCGGTAGTTTGTAGATGGGAAAACTCCTCCGACCCATGCCCTCCCGAACCACCTGTCACATCTGTTTAATCCTTGTTTTTAGTCCTCTCGCTTAGTATTGTCAACCAACTCACGACACAATTCGTATAACTCGCAAACTGCCAGACGATGCTGGTGCTGAAATTTTGCTGACACAGAGAGCCTCCGATGCTAACCAAACCGGCCACCTTTGCTTTATTTAGTGCCGAGCAATGTGCGACAACCCGACTAAACTGTTTGGCATGCTTCCGTTCGTACACCACCCAAACACTTACGCCATACAAAAAAAAGAAGAAACAAAAAAGAGCATTTCGAAGTATTACTGCCGTTTCGAGATGCCCGCAGGTTAGGGTGTGATTAAAATTAGCTGAATTGGCCTGTTCACTTTCCAACCGCCTTTATATCGTGACGTCAGCAGCGGGCCCCTGACGTCACTTGTGTTGTCTTTATTGGTGTTTGGTTGGCGTTGGCAGGCACTTCGTCAATTCTCTCATGCGGCTCTCTTCTTTTTGTATGTTTTTTTTTTTTTTTTCATAGCCCCGTGTTGGGGACTTTTAAGGTAACGTATTCAGACTGCATGATTAATTTGTCAGAACGCTGGCACGCACTGTTGTTGAGAGTGCAGATGTTTCTGACAGACAGCATTGGAAATGCGTACAGGAGGGGAGTTTCAAAGGTCTTTGTTCTTGGTGAAGCACAGAAATGAATGGTGAATGTCTCCTCGGCTTGTCCTAAGTGACTTTGCAGCGATGCACGACAAAACTCTAGGTCAGTTGTGTGGGCCAGAGTAAATTGGTGTATTTTACATCTTCCACACTACCACCAGCTCCTGGTGGCGCTATGGAAGTGGGCATTTGTAGTTATGTCACGCAAATTATCAAAAACATATCCTTACCAATGTCACCCTACTCACGGTTTTCGAAGGGTAGGGACATGTGCTACTCGTTTCAAAGCATGCCCGGAGAAGGTAGCCGTTTTAGAATTGAATATTTGTTGTGGAAGTTGTAAAGAATGTTGAACAATTACGAACAGGGCGAGGCATTTTAATATGGCATGGAAATATTGAACAATATTATTCAGCTTCCTAACCAGGCGCTTTATAGACTTCCAGAATATTGTACCTAGCTGTTAACTTGAAATGTAAAACTTAAATGAAATATTACTTCTAATAACTGTGACTTCTGATAAGCATATTTCTTGAGAAATAGGACACAGAGTTTTGAACTTCTGAGGTGTTTATTTTGACATAATTATGAAGTGATTTGAAGATCAATCACACCACCTCTTCTCCATGACCGAATTCTTTTCAAAAGGGAATTTAGAGCACCCCCAATCTTTTTTTTTCTATTCTTTTCATAGAAAACAACGTGTTTAATTGATAAATTGATTAGAATTGTTTAGTCAACCACCAATACACCAGAATGACTCGCCCTGAACTTCAATGCGTGTCAAGTGCGGTGTTCATTGACAAGAACGTCTGCATACTCCGGGTGCTTGGTGTTCTGCTCATGTATGCCTTTGCGATGTGTCGTAACGTGTAAAAGTCTGAGCGACGTCAGCGGGATGTCGATTGTTCATCACCAGACTACTGTCATTTGTGCCGAACAGTTGACTTTTGAAACACCTCTTCGTGTACGTATCTTACTTAGAAAAAAAAAAAGCGAGCTAGCATACGAAAGAAAAAAAAAGAGCTGAAGATTCAGCGTCTCTCTCACTGTCTATTCCGACCTCAAAGCGTGCAGCTTCTCATGCTGATGAAAAGCTCTTGTCGCAATCAACCTCTCTTAGCTATTTTTTGTTTTTCTTGACTTCCAGATTTCAACTATACTTAGGACATGTCCACCTCCTTTTTTAACGCTGCTATGCCTAGCTTTGTGGTGATCACGTTTGATGTGCTCTTCTTCCCCTCTTGCTCTCTCTCTCTCTTTCTTTGTGTGTATGTGTGTGTGTGCGTGTGTGTGTGCTTGCAGTGGTTTGATCATGTCTTCGTGCCTCCAGTCGTGCCTTTGTTCATTGCCGCCGTTCGCAGTTACGGCGGCGACTAGAAAGTGCCCAAAGTATGTTCCTGGGCCGGAGTTCGCTTCCCCACCGTAGTGCGTAGTAATGGTGGATATTTTTCTTCGTAAAGGCAAATACTTGTTTTTGATCATAATATGTGCTATATTAGGTGCATACTTTCTTCTCTCTCTCTCTCTCTCTGTCGTTTACTTTAAACTGGCTTGGACAGAGAAGCGAGCGTCACGTGACTCGTGTTTGGTTTAAGGTATGCACCGAGACAGGTAGTGAGAGTCGGGTAGCCTAGCCTAGTCCCGTAGTTTCCTCGACTCGTAGATCTGCGGTTGTTTGCCTGCAGCCTCTAGACGGCGTTATCCTGTTTAGCAGAAGGGCGCCGTCGCCTTGGCTAGTTGCGGTAGTGGCGGCGCCCGTTGTCATGGTAACCGGACCTGCTTGCTCGCGTCTGCTCCGCACACACTCTTCTTTCGAACCCTAGCGCCAAAAAAAGATACCCCCCCAAAAAAAGAAAACCTTCTAGAAACTTTGTCCCTTTAAAAGAGAAACATACACAGCAGTCCACTCTGCTCTCTTATCCCCTAAAGCATTCCCTCTTTGTTTGTGTTTTAATCAACCTCCCACCCACCCTTTTCTTTTCCTCTTCTCTTATCCTTCGCTTCCGATATTTTTCTTTGGTTGTCGCGCTGCCCCTTCATCTTCTATGTTCGCTGCTACTGCCGCCTCTGCTGCTTTTGCCCTGTTGTGCTCAGTTTTAGTCAGTCTTTCGTCACTGTCTTCTTTCGCGCTGGCCGCCTCTTGCTTCTTGCATCTCCCATACCTTCTCTCTCTCTCTCTCTCTTGCTTTCTTCGCACTCTATCTTTTTGTCACTTCGTCCACTCGACAAGCTCTCTGTCACCTTCTAGATACACTTCTTTTAACACACGGATGACCTCCTTGTTCCTATTCATTTTCATCCCCTGTCCCTCAACTCTATAATTTTTTTTTCTTCCACCTTCGTTTTTCATTTTTCTTTCAACTGAGATTAAGCAGGGTTACAGCGAAATTTGGTCATCAGTTCGCTCTGACCTTCACCAACTTAATTTTTTTTTAGACGGGAAGGCGCATGGGATTTATATTTTTCTGTTGCTGACCCTCCACTTCAACACCTCCAAAAAAAACAAAAAAAAACAGGCTCGGCTTCATGTGTGTGAAACGTTTTTCGAATCGCATCACGTGATTTTATTTCTTTCCTCTCTTTGCCCCCATTTTTGTCAGTCGCCTTCTCTTCGTCTATTCTCCTAATCCCCCACAATTTTCATTCGGTTGACACATTGCTTCCGTCAACGCTTCTGCATATGCTTTGCCTTGTGTAATAACTGTTTAGTTGTGAAGCATACCCCAACTACTAGTGCCCTCCGTAACAACCCGTCCCTCAACTCTCGGATAGCGCACGCCTAGCTGTTCTTGTTGTTTTCTTGAATTGCGTTACCACATTTGTTATATTTCCTTTGCATCTAACGTTTTTTTTTTTTTTATTTATTTTATAGGATAACACATTTAAAACTAAAGGAAGATAAAGCGAACGAACATACCTCTATCTTCAATCGCGAGTGTTTCTCTTTTTTATTGCACGATTATATTGGATTACATTTTTTTTGTTGTCGATTTTGTGTTCTTTGCGTTCTCAGCACGTGGCTTAAATTAGCATACGTTGTTTCTTGCATTCGGAATTCTGGGGGCGAAAACTCGATTGCCGCCTACTTTCGAGACGTTTTCTTTTTATCTGCCTTCTTTTCTTATTTATTCTTCCTTCCTCCCTCCTCTTTTGTTTTTTCCTCTTTCCAACGATTCTTGAACGAAACTATCCAACCACATCATCATTATAAACAACCACAACCACAACAACAAACACTCGTGCCGAACCCCTTTATAGTCATGGTGATGGCGGCGGCGACATGCCCGGAGGCAGGAGACGAGAACAGTGAGTAACCATTATTCATTTTTTGTTGTATTCTTCTCTTTTTGCATTCTCTCTCCGTTACGCGACCCTCGCTTTTGTTTTTGGTGTCCCATATTACATCGTCCCGTTTCCTATTTCTCCTTTTCCATTCTGGTTTAGTTCTATTTAAGGTCCACCTTGTCCCCTTTCTTTTCTCCCCGTCTTTAAATGGCCAATGATACCGACATGAATTTGTGGTGCAAAAGATTCGTGTTGTGTGCACTGCAAAAGCGAGTTTTTTGTTGTTTTTTTTGTTGTTTTTTTAGCGCTACACATGTTAAAAGAACACGCACTCGCTCTTATGCTATCTTGATTTGCACGAAGACACAAGATTTTCTAGATCGTTTTTATGCTTTTATATGGTTTCATATTGATTCAACAAGGAGCCATCCGTATTATAGAGTGAATGTGGGCCATTTACCGCAAACTAAGAATGATTCGTACATGTTGCAAATAAGAAATAAGATGTTTAGTCGTAAAAATAATCTTGCGTGTGAACATTAAATTGGTCATTTTACCCGAATTATCAAACTGTATAGAAACGCTTCACTCACTCACTCTCTCTCGCTCCCTTTCTTTCTGTTTGAGGGAGAAACAAAAAGAGAGACGTTCCTACGACGCTAAGAATCGAATAATATTTTACTACCGTTTTTATCGAGCTTTCTTTAGGGACTAATATTTCCTGGCTTGTAACGTGTACAAGATACTCTTTAAAGAGAGCAAAGCTTCGAATCGGAAGCTCCTCGGCAGAGAGTAAATGGCCTGCTCACACCGGCAGCAGGAGAGTCATTACGGTATAATCGTTTCCAGATGAAGTTACTGGGGCATTCTACTTCCACGCGACACTTTTTTTTTTGTTTTATTGTCCTTCTAGTTTCCTACTGTCCTTTCTTTCCTTCACATTTTTTTTTTACTTCAACTGAATTTTTGTTTTACTTTAGGCTACGGTCCTTTTGCCCCCAACTATGTTTTTATATGTGTGTTTCGTTTACACCAATCATTCGGATGTCGTCTATACCGTCATCACTCCACTCTGTGCATCGTCCACCGTCATCGTCGTATTCCCTTTTTCCCCTATATATATACCTTCTTTTTTTTTCTGCACGCGTTCCTCTTGCACTCTACATTCACGTTGTTTTCCCCTTGCCGTTGTGCGTCAGTCTTGCGTGCGTCCCCTCCCCCCCCCCCCCCTCCTTGTTCCCAGGGTTGTGTGAGCGTCCCTTGCAAGCCCTGTGCAGCTGATTTTCGCCACTTTTTTTCCCCCATTCGCTTCTTTCTCGACAACTACGCTTCTTTCCTTTTCTTTTTCATTGCTGCTGTTTTTGCCGCTGTCCGTTTCGCTAAATGTTCCCCAAGGGACGATGCCGCGCGAAGAGAAATCGCAGCGAAAGACATTCTGCGCTCACTTTTTGTTTGTTTAATTTTTTCTTTTTTTTCCGGAGGATGCTTTTAGGTCTTGATGTAAGCGGGTTTTAATTGCTCGGAGAGCTTGTTTTTTGTTGTTTGTTTTGTTTGTTGTTGTTGTTTTTTTACTTTTTCGCGTACGCTTGTTTACCTGCAATTTTCTTCTTTTTTTTTTTCTTTTCTTTTTTTCTTAATACCGTCGCAGTGCCGTTCTGATTTAATGAGAGTCGCACGGACCGGTGCGCCTCGCGTCGTGTACGCCGGGGCGCTGATTTCTCGCTCCTGGCCGAAATAACGAGTGCTTATTGAGTCAACAACATCACAGGCGAAAATTAGTAAAACCATGTTTGTTGCTGAGAGTTGCAAAAAAATAAAAATGTTGTCGCGTGCAGGTTATCGTTAATCCCATTGTTATTTGGTTTATTCTCAATTCGCTCTAGCTTCAGTTCTGTCTCTAATAAATACATTCGGGCGTCTGTTTATTAGCTGCGGTTTGGTAGTTATGTTTACCTGTTTACTCGCGGCAAATGTAGCTAATTCTCTTACATAATTATGCCGCAACCGCTGTTATCACATCGCTTTGTTAGCTCGTCAATGATTAACGAAACATTGACCATGCCTTGTGTTTTCTGGTAGGTGTCAGAAAATGAGGCGCGTGCTTGCATTAGGGGGCAAAAACAGATGTCTTACCACTTGTAGTTACTTTACTTAAGCTGGATGTGGGTGGCACGTGCAACAGGTTACAGGGAGTTGAGTACAAGACTTTGCAAATTCGGTTAAGTTTTCTTGTATCCATCAAGGTGCACACCCTAACTAATGTGTAGTTTATTTCGATTGAGTTTTATTTTTAACCAAACAACGAAAACGTTTGCGCTGAATGTTTCTCTCCGCGGGTTTTCTGCTGCGATTCCCTACGTTGGCATTGTCGCTGGAGTTTTTTTTCGCAACACAAATTAGTGTCGGTTATGGTGGAAAAACAGTCGCTCCTCATGCCTCCTTCAGCTGTTCGTAAAATGTTCAACTCGCGTTACCGTAAAGTGGCAGTGCCGTTTAATTGGATACTAGGTGGTTTTTCAAGTTGCGTATACGAACATGAGACGCTGCGAAATTTGGTATCTTATAATTTACTGAAGGCATTTCTACGAGAAAAAGATTAAGCGACTGTTTATTTACCGCAACCTCGCGCTCTTTCGCACAGCATTGCGCCGACAAAACTTGATCGGAACAAAGCCTAAGCACCGTTCCCAACTGAATTCGACAGATAGCCATGTATGCTGAATTCACGCCCCATAGTTCCTTTCAAAGCATTGAGCCCCCCATTTCACTTCTATGTACGCCGCGGCGAAGGCTCTACGGCGAGCAAGCGTTCTAAAACGCGTCTTTGGCGCGACCGAACGCAAGGAGGGACGCGCCAATCGAAAGAGCAACGTAGAGAATGTGCATGACAAGGCACCCAAGCGATCGCCGTCATTGGCTGGGACCAGAGGGAAAACAAAAAGTCGTGTGCGTATTTGGCGAATAAACAAACACACAAGATGCGCAAAAAAAAAAAGAAAGCAGACGAATTTGCAAGTTGCATACGCTTCTCAAGTGTTTAGTACCCGAGCGGGACGCGCGCATTCACCTTCTTGCCGGCGCACGCGCGGCGTGCGACGTAGAAAGGATTTATTGCACATGCCCAGAACGAAATCCACAGTGTAGATGCGCATAAGCATTAAGCGCGCTTGCTGCCTGCCAGCAGTCGAAACACACTAGTTAAGATGGAAAACATATCGCTCATAACTGCGGCCGGATTGGTCCATTCGGGTTGTGGGTGTCCTTCGCCGCACGGTACGTCAAAACAGAGCATACACTTTTCATTCCTGAGCTGACAGTGCGGTGGAAGTTACGTGCTCTTGGGCCAGTCATACGTCTATCCTTCGCCACGTGTTCACGCTCCCGCAGGTGCTCGAGCGCAGAGAACGGGGTCAGGTGATGAATGGGAGGCGGTGAACGCGTAACCCCCTCGCTGTCACTATAGGAGTGCACGGTGTTCCTTTTTGATAGGCTTAACAGATTTGTTTGAAAAAATCCGTAAAAGCAACAGTAACGCGGTTTATACAGAAGCGTTATACGGCAAGGGGGACATAGTATAGGGGGCTAACCGGCTAACCGTAACTAAGATATGTTAATTAACGTTTCAATTATTGAAAATAAACGCGTGGTTCTGATCAGATACTTACTGAGCGTCATCGTAAACGACTAAATCACGCCATTTTATAAAGATTTGGACCACTTTGGAAGCACGGTGAAGTGCTGAAGTTGCCACCCGTGCAGCCAGAGTGAGGCTACCGGAGCGACAACGAACCCCGGCGGTTTTCCCGTCTCGTATCGTAGCCCCAGCCTTGTGCCTGTTGGATGAGGGGTCACTTTATCGCACTATTGCGCTTACCACGCGCTTAATTCTTTTTCTAAAAATTACCGATTTAATGGTTTTCGTTGACGTTCAATAAGCTTCCAATTGGAACTATACCTATACTCTCACTAACTAAAAGTTTATTGACAAATTGTAGTTAATTACTCGATCTATCGTAGCGATCAGCCCCCTATGAACAAATTCGTTTCGCTTCAAAAGAAGCACCCTGTATATTTTACGCAGTCGTTTAACCGGCAATCGTTCGCCACTCTGATCTCATCAGCTCTCTCCCTCTCTCTCCCTCTCTGATCGCTCAGCCACGCAGCGGCTGCTCGTTTACACCTCATTCGCGGCCGCCTCTGATAAGCCTAGAGCACTAGATTCAAAGCTCACTGCACTCGCCGTCCAAAGTCCGCGCTAAAGGTAATTAGGAGCCGCTATCGTCACCGGGCGTGTTTTCCCCAGAGGGGAGCGAGCGATTACTACTCCCTTTACTCTGTTCCGGTCAAAAAAATTAATGCGACGCAAGCTTTGCGTTTCTGCGGCCTTTGTTCCGATCAACGGTCGGGAGTTTAAAGTGAAGGGAGAACTGGAGGGCGCCGATGGGCGGGCGTCCTCGCACACGCTTTCCCCGCTTCCCCCTTTCCCCTTATTTGCCTTATTCCTCTCCCAATCTGTTTGTTGGTGCCTTTTTCGCTCCTTTGGTTTCCGCATCGCCGGACAAACGCAGGCGGCCGCAGCCAGCAGAGCACGGAGGCGCTAGGGCGACGGGAAACGAAAATTCCCGCAAGACTCGCCTCTTCGCCGCCCCTTTCTCTTCCAACACCCCACTACACCCCACGTTGGAATTCGTTGAAAGTTGCTCATTCTGCGCATCTTTAACGTTGAGGATACTTTTTCTCCCTCTCATTTGAAGTTTGGGGACCGAAAACCATGATATGCTCGTATCCAAAAAGCGACATTTCGCCGCTGCGCTCTCAGATCGAAGGACGAGGTACCTGCGCCGTTGTTAAACTGGTTCACGAAACCCTGCTTTTGTTTCCGCGGTTATCTTAGCCTGCTCGCCGTATGGCAGATACAGATTGATTCCCTTATAGTGTTGTAGCGTCATTGTTTCGTTTATAACTCGGCTAGAAATTCCAAAGAACACTTCTTTCGGTAACTTAAATAATACATTCAGCGGTTACTTTAGACATAAATATGCTGAGCTATACTTTGGCTCAGCTTACGTCCAGACGTAGCCGACGCTACGAGCTAATGCGACCAATCAATCAGCGTGAAACCGCCGGTCACTAGGCCTTTCTTGTTTATGAATAGTTCAGCGATGATAGAACACGAATTGTAACACGAGGAACACCATGATGGTACGTTTTGACGCCGTTTGATTGGTCCCATCAGCCCGTAGTGTCGCCTGCGTCTAGACTTAGGGTGAAACTTATATGCCCATAATGGAATGATAGAGTGCACATTTTGATCACTTCCCATCTTTACACTTTATCCGTGGTATGCGTAAAATGGGTTACCTGTCTACGTGGAGAGGAAGTCGTCTGCTTCTTGCTCAGGAGTTCCGGTAACGTCAGAAAGACGCTGAGCTCTGATTGAAGGATATTGGGTAGGTACCTCAAAGCAAGCTGCCTTGAGGTCTACCCACTATCCTTTGATCATAGCCAATCCGATATCCTCTGATCATAGCCAATCCGATATCCTCCGATCATAGCCAATCCGATATCCTCCGATCAAAGCCAATCCGAGCTCGGCGTTCTGACGTCACCCCAACCCCCGCAAAAGAAGCAGACGAACTTGCGCTTTGCATAGCCACAACTCGTGCTGCCTGCCGTGGTGTACCGACAGCTTGAAGATCCGCAGGGCGTCGTCGATCCCTTACTATCACTCGGCAGCCAACGAGGTTGCGGTATTTGCCGATAACGACGCCGAGTGACGAATCAGAAGGCGAGAAGCGTAATGGGATACTTCCCTTGCGGCTTTTAAAGTGATCGGTGACTGTGTTAACCTCGCGCGTGCTAGAATACGGGGCGCCTTCCATCTGAGAGCGTAGCGAGACCAATTTCTACACCCCACTGCCGAATCAGACGAGCTAGGAGTCCGGTGGTCGGACCTGACACAAGCTGCACTGGCACGGTCGAGGTTATTGCGGATGTACCGCTGCTCAGACTACTTATCGAGACTTGGGACTTTAAAAACGCGGAAACAGAGCGGACACTCGATAAACGAAAACAGTCCGTGAAAACAAAAAGTGAAAAAAACTCTCTCAGTCCCAAGGCGACCGGTGGCACCTATGCGTCGTATTTTCCCCTCTCCAGTATTTGTGACAGTAACACCGTATGCCGAAAGAAACGACAATAGAAAAACAGTCTCCGCCTTGACGCGGATCAGTCACACAAACTTCACCGCACCACCCGACGTCTTGTCCTTGTCAGTCGATGAGCCCGACTGCAGTATCATTTCTATCATCATCTGCGCCCTCATCTGCATGGCCGAATGTTATTGACCTTTATTTGTTTTATTATATTATTAGTCTGGCACCGCGCACCCTTGACAAACAAAGACACCCTCGTAAAAAAAAAAAAAAAGACAAGTCGTGTCCCTTGGGCGACCGTCTGACATTCGACAGATTAGACAAGAACAAAACAGACGTGCGAATTGAATTCTGCACACGGTAATGACTGCAGTAATGTACGATGCTTTCTTCTTCAACCACGGAAGCGTCGTAGACATTGCGTTTGCTTCCCTCTTGTTCCCTAGCGTCCATGGAACCTTGTTCAGCAACCTTTTCGCAACTCCCTCGGACATGGGTCAGCGGCAGAACGGTACGCACACATCAACCGGCGCTTAGATAACATATCGTGCGAGGATGCAATCGCAAACGACAGATACACACTACCAAACGGAACACTGAGACCGCCGAGGCGATAAGAGAGCAAGAGGTGTAGTTTCTCAACATGATTCGGGAGCGCTGGAGAACCCCAAGCTCTAGTCTGAAGCAGGATCCAGGGATAACCGGCAAGTGCTACCGCCACTGGTTACAGCTCTAGGCGCCATTCTTCTGCTAGTCAGCGATCCCGTTGTGTGCGTTTTGCAAAGACTCCGCGGGTCGAGTTAGCTTCACTGCTCTCCGCTCTCCGTTCATTCTATCTCGGAAACGCTGTCTTATTTGCACTCCCGCTTATACTGAAATCCCTGGCCTAACCAGTCAATGGTTTCGTCCGCTCTCAGCTAGCGTTGTAGCTTATAGAAATGCCAGCTCACCCTTGATCTCTCCAGATTATTTTTCTCGTCAACCTTTGCCATCTTTCACGCAGCTATGGGAGACGACCAGAAAATTGATTATATGATAGAAGTCAGCCACATCCTGCTCTACTTGTCGTAGCACAAAATGAGCAATGCAGGTTGTGTTTTTTCTGTTTTTTTTTTCCTTTTCTACGCGTGGTTTAAAATTTTCATTCTGCTTCTGCTTTCAAAAATTGATGCCCGAGTCTTCAGGCCACTAGTGATAGGTCTTTTAGCTAAACGAGGGCTACCCTTCGGGTGTTTGATTTTCCTGCGAATCCCGCTCCCCAAGCCGGAGCTGAGGGGACAGAGAAACGAGCTTGACCCGCGGCGTCGTCTTGCGCACCGCAGCCAGTAGCTTAGGGGTGGTGATGTGTCGCCCACCAACCGGTGTCCACCACCGCTCTCACCTCGTCAGGCTCGGCGGCGGGGTTCGGACTATTCGCGTTTCCCGCCGCCTCGGTCGACCACCAGGTGGCGGCCTTTTACGCCCCCGAGTTCTGCTCGGCGGCAGCTAACCCTAGCCCTCCGTCTTCTGCTGGCTCGGTGCCCGCTCTGCACCAGGACTCCGCCGGGCTCCACGAGAGCGCAGGTGAGTCCCTCGGGGCCTCCACCCGCGCGTGCAATGCAGAGCTGGCCCGCACACTTTCTTCCCTTTCCTTTCACGGGCGACACGATGCGTAAGGGTGCCCAAGGTACTGATCTTTCCTAGACATGTACTCGGGCTGTGGGTGGCGGACACCGGTCCACCTTCGACAGGAGGCCAGAAAGCTCGGGGACAGCAGAGCAGCTAGAATAAAGCGGTGGGATTTTTTCTTACCGATAGGTTACGTGACGATATTTCCGCCTAGTATAAGTTTCCAATTACAGTTTCCGTCAGTATGAATTTCCAGTTAAACCGTAACTTTTTCATCAAAGTACGCACCGCAACTATGGCCGTCAAAATTGCAAGATGAACTACAAGGATACTCGAGTTACATGAACCTTCGTTTCCATGGAACCTGCGCAGGCCTTAAAGAAAATTAAGGAATGTGTGCGACTCTTAGGAATAGATGGAAATATTTTAGTCTCAAAAAGGCAAAGTCTTTAAACCAGTTGTTCATCTTCCTTTACTATTAAAGTGACTCATTTCGCACATGGCAATATAAACAAGAGCTTTGTCAGAATCCGGCCTACCTGGGCTGTTGCGTCTTCTTTAGGACTCTACTATTAGGTAGGGTATCGCTTCAGACAGGACTAGGCGCCACGACTATCTTCACACTGAGTTTTTAAGTCAGTGGGACGGGAAAAATTGGTCTACTAATGGCCTTGTTTTAGTGTGCTAGAGATAGAGAGGTCAACCAGCATCAGTCTAATACCTCTGACTGCTTTTAAATGGGAGACACGCTAAAACTCAACTAAACGTTGTTCCTCGTTGCTGTGTTCTTTTAAAGTTCATCCATCGGTTCGTTAGCGGTTAGGTGGCCCTTAGCAGACCCTGACGCCGTGCTCTTCGTTTTCAGCCACCGCGAGGAGATCGCGAGACGTTCCCTGAACTCGAGGCTTACCGCTCGGTTAAAAGCCCCCAGGTTGGTTGAGCCGTAGTTAGGATGTCGTAGCTAGATTCCCCACGGCGGGTAGGCCCTGGTAGGAGACTCCAGAGTAATTAGTACAGGAGCTTGTTCCTAGTGCACCGCCTTAGAAGTACCTAATGCACGCGCAGACCATTCTCTAGGGGTCTCTGTCGCTATTAGCTTGACCTCCTTTTTTTTTCGCATGATTAACGAGTGTTTTTGTATTTACGCACTCTGTAACTACATCATTGTAACCGCGGGCCTACAAGTGGTTCATAGAGCACAAAGATACAATGAATAGGAGTCGTCAGTCTAGTTCAGTTTTGCATGTTGTGCTTATTTATCGCACTTAGTGTTAGCGTAACTTTCGTATTTAATGAATATCATAAAGCACGCATTTTTTGTGAATTTTTTGTAATTTCACTGACTTAGCCGCGTGTATTTTAAATGCGTTTTTATTTTAATAGCTTTGCGTTTAAGTTACTAAATTTTCGAGACATTATCTTAACAAACATAAATTAAAAACATGGGGTGGAGAATACGCTGTTTTTAGTCAAAGTTGTGATATAAACTGTAAATATATGATCTATGAGTTGAGTTTTCAGGAAAGTAAAAACATCGGTACCCTAAAATGTAAAGAAAAAAAAAAAAAAAGCAATTCCCTAAACCGAGGGAGGGCAAGGCGTTTCAACCCGCAGTCAAAAGTAGCCTCCCCAAACCGCGGCAACTTCCCCGCAGCAAGCCTCTGCGTACAGTGAAGCCAGCTTTGAGTTTTAGCTACGGCTAAGTAAACTTTCTTCTTCACGAAACCCGCAGCCGCAACACTACTCGCTGCTTGAAAGGAGTGTGAAGAGGCTACGGAATAGAAACGAGACGGAAACAGCAGGGGCAAAATAAGAAAACAAGAAAAAAACGTGCTGAGCCTTCCGCCCGTCGGCCTTGTCCGAGTCCGTCGGAACGGCTCTCCTCCGAATGGATTCGCGCATGCAACGGAAATCCATTTGGGCAAGAAAATAGGCGTCTGCTGAAAACGGGAGAGCCCGGCTTCTTGGCGTAACACTCGCTTGATCACGCTGCCGCCGGCGCAAAGAGTTCGACCCAACCCACGAGAGCCGCTCCCCTTGGTTCCTTTTTCAACCCAGTTCCCTTTTAGGCCGGAACTTCGTCTCTCTATACTCTTTGTTAGTGTGCCCTCTCTTTTGCTTTCCTTTTCTGTGTGTGCGGACCCTACAGCGCGTTTGAATTGATTTAGTTCGGCCTTGTGTATATCCGAGACAGCTGTCGATATCCTTCTTTCCAATGTTCACCTTTTTTTTTTTTTTTTTTCGCCTGTTTTACTGGAAAATGGCGCTCTTATTTTAGTTTCCGTCACGTGGAGGAAGCACAATGTGTCAAAACTCGTGGATAGCAGCGGGACAGGGGGGGTACAGAAACCGGAATCCCTTCATGTTCGTTAGTAGCCAAGGAAATGTCAGTTACAGAGTGTGCTGTCGCCTTGTTAAGAGACCGAATCATTGTAGCTAATGTAGGAGTAAAGCAGAGGGAACTAATTGGACAGGCTATATGCATAGCAATACAACTGTTGTAAATGTAATGTTGTTTTCTGTGCCATACTGTAGACATTTATTTATAATCAAATAATATTATATTAAGTGTTTTTTTTTAAGCTTAGGTTGCTGTATTTGACACAATCAAGCCATTTTTAGCCTTGTATTAGGTGTTATTTCATTCGGTAAAAAAGTTCAAATGTGGAATGCATTCAGTGCATGTGATAAATGTTAAAATAGGCTCACCTTCAGTACCTTGGACACCCTTTCTGGCATTTCTAGCTTTTTGAGGTTTTTACACTTTGCACCTGCTCATAGCACTCAGGTAAGTAGCTTCCGCTTTGGTACATAAAGCATTAACGAGGTATATGTTTTCGTTGTTCTGTACTCTCAAGGGTTAAATAATTAAGATAGTTTGCTATCCAACATAAGTAAGATCAGCTTTCTTACTATCTTGCACATTTTGGGGTAGTCTGATTATGTTGGATGCCATACCTGTGGGCATGAGACTCGCATCAGCTTCTAAATATTTAATATGTTTTCATAATTGAGAAAATTATCTATAGGTTGCTCCAAAAATGGTTTCGTATTATGTCTAATTTCGATTGTTTAGCCAACTACTTGTTGCAGGCATGTAGGGAACAACTTTTTATATGAGAGATATGCAATTTTGGGTCATTCCACCAACTTTCTGTTGCAATCATTTAGGGAGTAACCTTGAAAGTGCTTTGCAGCCATGTTTAGGGCATTATCAAACCCACATAAATCAATATATTTTACTGAATTCCCTAGTCTCAACTGCTTACAAAAGCTGGGACCTGGTCGGTTTGTATTATTTTATGCATTATCCCATGTGTATGTGTGTGTGTATGTGTGTGTGCGTGCGTGTGATCCAAACACTCACTTCCTGTTCTATTTTAGCTCATCCTTCCCTCATACCACTGAACTGGCCTTTCCTTCCATGCAATGCATCACCCCAAATACCATAGAACAACTTAGTTTTCACATGTGAAGTCTGATATCATGTTCGAAGTGCAGCATTGGGTCCTGGAGTTTTTGAACTTTGCATACTTGACCTGGAACATGTTTATACCCCATAAATATGATCTGGAACATTATATTACAATTAGTCATTTCTGATGCTGCATTTGTTACATGTCTTCTCCTGAGAAACCTCTGCAGGTCATGTTCCCACCATTCTGCATCATGTGGTCATGTGTCCTCTTGTTTGCTTTCCAGTGGAACTGAATGGGCAACAGACATCACCACCTCTACTAACACAGGCCCTCTCAGGTACTCTAGGACACGTAATCGTCTATCCCACTCTAATCGACTAACAGCTGCTTTGTCAATTTTGTTCTCTCCAGAGACCAAACATGCTCCCACTATCCAACTGAAACATAGTTTTCATGTTTGTTTTTGTTCAAGATGTTTATCTTCATTCCACACATTTTGTGAAGCTCCTTTTACGTGGTTGCCTAAAAAAGCACTCTCTTGTTCATGTCGACATGTAAGAAGTGCATAGATGAATAGGAAAATAAACAAAAGTGCCACAAAGAATGAGGACGAGTAGAAGAAACAGATGGGATAAACGCTAACTAGCAACTGGCCTTTTAAAGAAAAGAAGAAAAGGGTAGAAGGAAGTAATGGATGTTATAATCATTTGTTACTCATGCTCTTATAGTTCTAGCCATCGCCTTTTTTTTCTTTTATTCATTACATCCTTCACTTTCTTCTTGTCCTGTTTTCGTTTGCCTGAAATAGACAGTTACTGGTTAGCACTTATCCTGTCTAACCTGGACACTCACAGCTGTGTTCCGGGTTGCAAGATGCAAGGAAGTTTCGGTGTGTTCTGAGGTTTGAAGTAGGAGAAACCTAGTATGCTGAAAACTATGAGAGACTTGAGGTTTGGACCGGCTGCACAAGTATATATAACTCTAATCATTCGAGGGTGGGGGGAGGTACACCTAGATGAATGCATTTTGGTAAATGCTGTCAAATGTGATACCCTGTCTTTTACTAAATTAACAAACTTAAAAGGAGAATACAAAATGTTTGTGGGAAATGCATAAGTTTACTAAGTAAATGCCTGAACCTCTGAGCAAACCTTAGAGACAGTAGGTTTAATTCACTAAAATAAATATATTTGTATTGCTTTGTACAAATCTGCTTAGTTGAGTAAATTCCCATAAAAATGTGTCTTGTTCCTCAATTCTATGACGACAGCTTGCAGGCTATGTGTTTAGTGGGTACGACAGATAGGAAACATTATAACTACATTCATAACTCCTATAATTAATTTCTGATATTTTTTAGATAACTGCTATCTGAAATAACACTGCAAAAACAAGAGCTCCACTATATCTTGAAGAAAAAAATCGCATTGCCTCTTCATTTGCGAGAATGCCCCAAAAAGATTCCTTTTTAACTTTATATTTATATTAGTTTATTTTCAAACCTTTTTATAAAAACACTGCACTACCGAATTAGTAAATATTTTTAAGGCATGTGTGAGATCTGTCAACTTTCTGGCCATTTTATGACATACAATGATAACCCGACCTTCTCTATGCACTTTCTCGCACGGTAGGTGTCTCACCTGAGATACTGCATCGTTTTTTTGCATTCCAGCTTAATTTACCTTCTTTTTGTGTGATGAACTTGTTTTATATCATTATATCAGATGTGTTGGTTCACTGATGTCATAATTTCTTGTTTTGGTTTTGGCAGCTAACAGCCCAGGCCCTATGGACATGTACAGCTCAAGCCAGGACAGCGTGAGCTATGTGCAGGCCACATCGCCGCAGCCTTCAGGATTCCCGCCCCTTACAGTCAGCATGGTGAGAATATTTTCTCTTTACATCTGCCCAACTAAATATTTACTAGTGCTAGCTTTACTGACCTTCTCTTCAAAACTGCTGCACCTGAATCCTGCTGTAGTTACGGTGACGAAAGGGTATTTAATTATGCAGTATATGTGCATGGTTTGTCTGCCAGTTCTACTTTGAAAACGTATCTAGTCCAAAAAACCCAAAACATTTGTAAATCCTTTCACACCTCAGGGAGGATGCCAGAGTTTTAAGGTTTTCACTGACAGAGATTGAAGGGTGTTTGAAACCTGTTTCTAATTTTTTATTCGATTTATGGATTTAGAAGGGACCAGGAATATACCGCATGCACCACAATGATTCACAAATGATTGAAGTGAAGACATTACTGGAAGCTTCATGGCATCATGCAATATTACGACCATCTTTAAGGCTTGTAAACTGCACCAGTCAAATCCGAAATTGCCATACCTTTTAATCAATGGCATACCATTGTTGGGACTATGCTTCTGTGTCCTAGGTAATAACTTACCATATCATCAAGTCTGATAGGAACCGTCCTTCTTTAAATTAATCAATGAGACTAATAAGTTATGCAAGCTAACAGACTGTTCGAAGGTTGAGGCTACAACCAAAGAAAATTGTGTCGCAGGGCCCCGGTCCCCATTTGTAGCACTCAGCAAAAAGGGCAATAGTAAATGCATAAAGATGTCTACATAAGCTCCCAAATGAACGTTCATCCTTGGTGAAAATACCTAGACTGAAATATGGGGAACAGCAGCCAGTCTTTCGCAGTATGACAGCAAAAAAAAAGGAAAAAAAGCAATTATCACGCACCCGCTACGAAGTTGTACGGCACGGAGATTGATGCCTGAGATCGAGGTCTTGTCAAACCAGCATTTCATAGTGCTCTTTCCTGACCTTACGATTTTTACCACTAGTGATCTCATGAATTGATGCAGTAAATCGTTTTTGATATATCTAAGAGCTATCACAAGCTCTTTGCACACAGCCCGTGTGGCAGTTATTTTGTTTTACTGCATCAGCAGCCTGCGTGCTGCGTGACCCACGTGGTCGCATACCTTTTGCAGCCGCTGTTGGCTAGATGGCGCAAGCTGCCAGCCTTTGCAGTAATGCGTGCCATCAAGGGCGTTTTCTTACGTTGCGTTATGTTACGGGACCGTCTGCTTATGTCGAGAGTCACCAGCATTTGTGCTTTGTATGAAGCGTGGCCACCAGTTCAAGGAGTTGCTTTGCTTGCAACATACGAAGCACGGATGTTTTGGTGACTTATAACGTAATGTAACAGGGGTGGAACGGCTGCGCCATTTGCGCCATTTTGCGCCAGAGGCATTTGTTTGCGCCATCCTGCGCCATGTTGCGGAAACTGCGCCAAAGCCAGTACCTCGCGCCATTATGCTCCAAATCTCAAAATGTGCGCAAAAAAAATTGTATTTTGTCTTGGTTTCGGTTTCTATCGACTCGATTGGCAACAATGAGCGCGTTTAGCTTGGTCGGCCTTGCAATCCTTTGTTCTGTTTATTCTCCCTGTGTATCCCGAATCGGAAGCGCGCACGCACACACACACAAAAAAGAAACTTTGGGGTTGCATTCTAAGCGCTACACCACCTGCGACTGGATCGTTATTCTTCAACCATAAGCGGGGTCGAGTAGTAAAGCGTCAGATTGTCTGAGGCTCTGAGGCCCGGGATCCGCACGTCAGCCAGTTGAAAACAAATGAGCAAAATATGCGTTTAGTACTTCATCGTTAGAAGTTAGAACCACATTCCCGCAAGATAAATCGTGATTTTCTAGAACTGAAACGCGGTCCGATCCGAAACCTTGTCGACCAGCAGCTCTCACGCGAGCGATAGATCTGCTCGGCGTACTTTAACCTTGCTCCTGCTTATCGCCTCAAATACGATAACTCCGTTAATCGTAGTTTGCCGTCTGGATATTGAGTTGCACAATAGGATAAACTTGAAATTGGTTGCACTGTTCCTCCGCGCAACTACTCGTCCGTTGCTTAAACACGTCACATGGTTCACACATATAGAATTACTATGTCGAACACGTGTGGGTTGTGTGATAGGCAGTGCTGGTTTGCATTTTGAGCAGCTGAAAGCCACTCAGAAAATACTAAGGACACTATATATATATCTTCAGAAACATGGTACTTGCTTTTTGGTTCTCATTAAGACTCACAAAGTTTCAAGTTTTCGAATTTTTTACACTGTTACGCCTTCCACCTAGATCCCTAACCACTCATGTTAATCTGCGCTGCAAAGCATAATTGAAATTGCTCCTGTGATTGTCTAAGACAGAACCTGAAGGCTGCAATAAAAACTGATTTGAGCTGCTCCTAGCCTGCTCCAGAATGTAGTTTTAGCTGCTCCCAAGCTGCTCCAAAACAACTGTTTCAGCTGCTCCCGTGGCTGCTCCCAAGTACATTTCATGAGTTCCACCCCTGTAAGAAAATGTATGCACACGCTCCTGTGTGAGTAGGCCTTTATTCTGCCTCCAGATATTTTGAACAGCGGAGCTGTTAAGGGCTAGTTTCCCCAGTACCGTGTCCGTCAGCAAACAAATGATGACACAAAGCTCTGGACAGCTACCGCCATCTGTGAGCGACGGTGGCAACCAGACAACCGGCTTACCGGTCGTCTTGTTGCTGCCCTCGCTCATAAATGGCGGCAACCTTTCCAGCCTTTCCACTCTAGCTTGCCGATTTGCGGCCGGCCATTACTTCATTCCCACCATAGCACAGCTTCGCTGGTATTCCTTCTTCAACAGAATAAAAAGGCTGAATTTTTTTTTATCGCTTTCTAAATTTTATATTTTTTCATTCTTACAAAACGGGCGATATCTTATTTATGATATAAAAGAATAAATTTTGTATTTCGCTTGTGTCTTGTAGCTAGCTGGTATCTCGCTTGTAGCAGACTTCTGTTTTGCATATGTCTATCACGTTTATCGCTGCATTTTCCTCTGATCAACCCGGTTTGAAGCCCCAATGCATTTTCCTTTGAACTTGTAGTGCAGCAGTGATTATGGCTGTCCTGTTGGATATCACATGAATTTGATGGGGTGCACAATGTTTACACGTTTGTCACTCTTAAATTCTTTAGCCATAAAAACGGGACGAGCAGTCTTTTAAGCTGGGCATTCGTTTGAGACATTACAATACTAATTTTGTGAAACCTTCTTTTTTTTAATTGAAAAGACACTGAACGTAGGAAAAACAATTTCCTACCTCGTTAGGACAGGCTAGAGCACTATATAGCTCCTTCGGAGCAGAGTAGCGCAATCCTTTGATCCGCGTGTTTCGCCGACAACATGGCCGACAGAGCAGCTAGGCGCGAGTCACGTGGTAATCAGGGTTCCAAGAGGCGGCCAGCTCTATGGGAGAATACATGGAGATCGACTCAACACGGCTGATTAAAAAATAAACGCCAAGTTCACACTTTTCGAAACTAGTCTGTCGTGAAATTGGTAAAGCACTAAACACTTTATCAAAGTTTTAATAATATTGGATGCGTGTGAAAATTGTGAGAAGGCAATTTCCAAGGCAATGGCGCTTGAAGCAGACGAGTGTTTTGCGCAGCAGAGATGGACTTTATGGATTGGCCGGAGCGGGTCACGTGAACGGTGTGACGTCACCGCGTCGTCTGCTGCATGATGCCGCTCAAGCATTTTTTTTAAAACAAATTACGTTATTACATGGCACACAACTTAGCGTAAATTATTGTAAATTGTTCCTTTATTATGTCAAAAACTATTGTCGTTCCGTACATCCCCAAAATATTCAAGAAACGGCGATTTTCTCCCGTTCCCCATGCATTTGTGACCGGAGTTGGAACCCTCGGGCGTTCGCCGCTACTCGCCGTGAAATGGCGTTCTCGATTGCGGTACTCTGCTCCGAAGGAGCTATATAGTGCTCTAGGACAGGCATGTCTCAAAAAAAATTCGTCGGAAAAAAATTTTTTTTTCTCCAATATTTACGTTACAATGCGAATTTTTCGATTTGCGGGCGACACCGAAACTGTGCCCCTAACGATAATGCAATTAATGCAACGGTGCAAGCTAGTGTCACTAAATAAGCTGTGGCTCTAGTGCAAGCGAGCAGGATAAGATGACATTATGGCAACTCGCGCGCTATCACCATCATCCCCTGTGGGATGATGATGATGATAGCGCGCGAGCTCCGGGCTTTCCACGTCCCTTCCAAGTACGCGCGCTCGTGCAGTGCAAGCGCTGTTCAGAGCCACATTTGAAACGACGAAGTATAATGTGTGCTCTGAGGTCCAGCTAACTAAGAATTGACTCAGAGCGCACACAAGTTTGGTACAAACGCTATCATCATCATCCCACAGCGGTACAGTTTCGTTTTCGCCCGGAAATTGAAAGATTCGTATTGTAGCATAAATATTGAACCAATTTTTTTTTTTTAGACGTCCATTTATTTCGTGATTTGCCTGTCCTTTTTAGGTAGAAAAAAAAACTTTTTTTCTTAGGTTCGGTGTTGTTTTAAGACAAGGAAATGGTGTTTGAGGCAACTAGAAGAAACACAGAAAAGCGGTATTTGGCAGTGAGGGGTCATGCTTATCAATCAAAGGAACAAGAGATATAAAGAGACGAGTAGCTTGCTAACGTGTATATATGAATGTGTGTGAACACTTGTTACCTTTTATAGGGCCCCCTGATGGCAGCTGCTTTCACCAATGGCTATCACTGAAGAACCTGGTCTGGTCTGCACTCCACTGTCCCCAGGCAATACAGGGTAAGTATCACTTAAATGACATCTCTTGACGTTTGGTTTAGAGCATTAATTCTGACTTGTGTCTCTGGTGAACTTCTCAAAGTGAGTTGCTATTCTAAACTTCACTATAGCTGAGGTTCATCGTAGTAAAACTTTGCTGCACACTGTGCCTTTTTGCTGATGACCTACAGCTTTTTGTAAATGTCTGGTCACTCGCTGACTACGCACTTTTGTAGGATGATGTAACACGCATTCATCAGTGGTGTTTGTCAAATTATTTATTGATTGATTTTGATAAAACTCATATTTTGACAAAGGTAAATTTTGATAAAGCTAGAACACGTGAAGCAATTTCAATTCATAATGCTGTTTCTCCTGCAACTGCACTATGGGATCCTGGTGTTTATTTCTATTTTGTTTTATTTTGTTTTATCATTTCGTACTGCAGACCAATGAATTTTCTAGGCAGGAAGGGCTAAAAGAAAAAAACAAGAGACACTAAGGCCGGTACAAGATCACAGAACAGTTAATAACAGATAAAGGCCAAACGTAGCAAGAGCATGGACGCCATTACTGCAGAAAATATACAAAAATAAATAAATACGCAAAATAAATGTGCACCACCATGGACAAGCATCAACACTGGGCTGACCAGAAATAAACTTTAACAAAGTAGAGGCTGGGCTAGTTGGCATCCTGTGTTGCGTGTTGTGTGTTCCTTTTTTTAGTCCTCATTTTTATGCGCTGTTATATCTACGCCACGCCTAACTAGCAAGTAAAAGACAAAATAGACAAGTAAGACTGCACAGTGTTGAATAATAATGTGAGCATTTACAATGATATGCACCACTGAGGGCAACCTAAAGCGATGACCTTGCTGAAGAAGGAACAACTGTAAAGAAAGCTCTAAAGTTCACTATTTAGGAACGAGGCTTAATCAGCAGATAAAATAAGATCGCAGGAGACAAATTTCGAAGTATTAATTGTGTGAGGAACCAAGGAGTACTATTTAAATAAATTGGTGCATGCAGTGAAATATTCTGAAGAATGTTGATGAGTATGTCTGTACATCTTGTGACAAGTGGTTGCAGTTATGCTTCTAAGTCAAGAAGAAACCTATAGCTGTAAAAGGAACACAAAAATTTAAAGGGGTACGGAAACAAAAATTGAAATATTCAAATTCTGTTCGGAAATGAGTCAAGCATGAAGGATAATAACCGTAAATGATAATCGCACGTTTGTATTTTGAACGACTGGCTATATTTTTCTTTCCAAACGGTGCACTCGAGCAAGCGCTCGAAGAGAAGCGAACGGAGAGCGCGATGTGTCATGGAATATCCGGCGCAAACGAAAACGGAAAGAAACGATTCCCCGCATTCGTGACGTAGGAAGGCGGCGTGATTATGAGCTTTGCCCTTGGTGGCGTTGTCAGCGTTGTGGTGGTGTCAATAGACCATTCCATTTAGCGCTCTCTGGGCGGCACCATTTTGTTAGACAGCAGCGCCCTCTCCACACATCCGGGCAATTCAGCGGGTTCGGCGGGGTAAAACGAGAGAGAGGGCACGCGCCCGACTCCGCTAGCAGACGACAAAACGGGAGGTTGCCACTCTCCATCTTTGGGCTGTACGGAACATCGAACTCTCGTTCGTGGCTGCCGTTGTGGAGTGGTTCGCGTTCTTGGAATAGTTATGGCTACTCCAAAATCAGCCTAGAGCTGTCTGTTGTTCTATTTCGGTGAATGATCAACTAGCATATCTTGTTTTCCGTTACTTAAATAGCAGTTGAGTCAGCCGGCAGTACTACCCTCAACTACTGCGTGTATTGCGGAAGGAGAGCACGTTTTTATTTATTATTTCAGACTTCCACTCATGGTCGCTAAAGGCCTACACCAGTACGAACTTTGTATAGTAAAAAATGTACAGCAGCCGGGTTTACTTTTCGCCGGAGACCGGTCAATCTGACACAGTTCCCCCCCCCCCCCTTTTTTTATTTGCACGCAGGTAACAGCGAAATTGGACCCTGTTAGTCTTTTTATCTAGCATAGGATTACACGATAACTGGCATACTAAAATCTGCGCATCTGCGCCTGAAATTTCCAAAATTACGCGATTTTAAACAGAGTTTGTACGCCAGCCGGACGCTAGGTACAGCTCACTCGGAGGAGCAGACGAGATGCGGGTGAGAGGGGGAGGGCATTTTTTTTCTCTTTTTACCCTCTCTGCTATGACCTTAATGGAACGGTCTATAGCGTCAGCGCGTTACAACCGAGCCGTTCGAAGTACCCGTGGGGTGATGAGCGTGTGGCTGGCCCAAGAAGCACGTAGCTTCCACAACACTGTCAGCTTGGGGCTGAACGGGGTGGGAAAAGCAACTTTTGTTTGAGTTTTGAGCGACGGGCTAATCTTCTAGGGGGAGAGTGGCTGTGTCCGGTTTCACGAACGAGGGTTGGTCCGAGAAAGAGGGGAGTCCTTCCTTTTCGTCTTCTTGGGCCGTTTGGTACAAAGCGCGATTTGTATGTTCAGGAGGAAAGCTAAGAAGGAAAATGTTGAAATGCCAAAGCTCGTGCTCTGAAGGAATCTGCTACGTCACGACTACGTAGCAAGTTCCCCAGCGTTGCTAGATTACCTCCCAAATAGGCTCTGCATGCATCCACCAGGTGTACATTGAGATCGTTTATTTAGCTTTAAAATTAGTTTTCTTGTGCCTCTCAACGGAAGACTGGTGTTTTTTAGGTTAGGGTGCAACGTGCAAGACATTCAAGCTAGAAAATGAGCGCTGAAATTTTGTTTCCCTACCCCTTGAAGACGAGCTATTTTACGGCGGAGTTCCAGAGTCGGCATTTTGTCCATTATGATTTCCGCTAACCACTGTAAGTGTGCCGATAGCCACGTTGGAAGACTTTGTGTCTTCTTTCGCTGCAGCTGCAGCCTCCTAGACATATGTTTGTCCGCAAGAAAAATGAATTATTAATAGAGAGTGAGCAGGATGCCACAATGCTTTCCTGATGCCCGTTTCCGCTCTTCCCGCAGAAAGCATGCTGCCGAAGGCATCAGCCCAGGATCCTGCGGGTGGATTCAGTGGATTGCTTTGGACTCCTTGGCTTCCTGTTGCTGTTTGGCGAACCCCCCCCATGCAAGGGTGGATCGGGCTGAGGAGCGCGCCTCAGGCTCCTGGCTCCACCGACGCCACATTTTTTCTTCAACTTTTGCTGTTGCTTCACTACTGTTTGTATGACAACGACTCTCTCTCTCTCTCTCTCCGTCTGCTCTTCCCTTCCGAGCCGACGTCCCCTGCCTTCCTCCTCCGGGTTTGGATGCACACTCCGGTCGCAGAGAAAACTGCCGCTTCGTCGTCACTCGTGGTGCCAGCATCCTCTCTCTCTTCCTCTCCCCCCTCTCAGATCGTTCTCTCGCATTTCACTGCAATCCAAAGTAGCGAGGCTGCTGGCTGTCAGGAAGTGTCGCAATGCTATTGAAGGCAACAAAGTTACGTTGTGTGTTGGCCATCTTGTTAGCAATCCACGTGTTCTCTGTGTGGTGCCCTCAAATGTCGGCTTATCGACACCCCTCTCTGTAGACATCCTCATGCTGTGAGAGCGAGCTGTGCCCCAGACCCCGTCGGCACACTTTTTCAGTCGCTGCTGTGATGCTACGTGAAATCCTTTGCAAATGTAACCCTCTTTTCCAAACTATGTGCTCTAAATAAGGTCCTCCTTGAGTCTTATCTAGTGGATGACTCTCTATGCTCTTCCTTTCTCTTTCGGTTTAAAAAACAAATTAAGCAGTAAGGTGGCATTGTAAGAACTATGAAGAAATCCACTATTGGACACAATCATGTTTCTGTCCTCGCTCTTTCTCGACATGTCATTCATAGTGATTTCGTGGAACAATGCTACCTCACTCCGACTTCATCAGGCTGCTTCTCGAAAACCAAGTGACGCCCTTGAGGCAAAGTCTTGCACATGAAACGAGATGTTTGTTAATTATTGTAGCACATCGTGGACGTGTGATGATGTGCCTGTTGATCGACGTTAGGCATGACTGTATGTGTTTCCCCATCTCTTTTTCTCACTGCTCATGGTGAATCGCACAATGCCCTCTTTCTCTTTTCTTCGTCTTTGCATTGTGAGAGCCCCGACGTTATATACATATTGTAGCGTGTGACGAAATACCAAAACGCAGTTACGGGTAAAGATCCTGTGCTGCCATTTGTCTCTTTCGGAAAGTGTGTTCCTGTTCTCACGATTGCATTCCTGAAAACACACAATGTTTTCCCTGTGTTTCCCATCACCTTCTTTATGGCTGGCTTTGTACGTACACCCGTCTCCTTCCGGTTATGATCCTGTACACCTCACCCATGAATTTCGAGACTGGCAGAGTTAATTTTTCCTCCTTATTTATTCTCTCGCAAGCGCAGCCCATTTTTTTGCATAACAAAGTGTTACAGTGTACAGTGTAAAATGGACAATAAGTAGGAACTGCCTAGCATGAAGAGGGCTCAGCATGTGCACAAGCAATACGGAGTGTCTTTCGGTAATAATTTCCATGTACATCTCAGCCTTTTTGAAATGCACCGATGAGTCGATGTTCCAATTCTGATGCTAACCGTTTCTTTGACTTCCACACATAATGTCAAAACGTGTATCGGCCTGTGTTCACCGGCTACTGTAATCCTTATCACCTACAGTGTACTCCACATAAAGAAAAACAATTTTCGAACACCAAAATTACAAGAAACAATTTCTCTGGTTCCATCCCACACTGCAAATCAAAGTATACTGGAACTTTATATTTATGCTAACTTGTATAGTGCACTGCATTTGGCCATTACTTTCTTACCATGAATATCGCACATACGTACCATGCTTTGCAGCCTATGTCATTGTACATTTGCAATTGTTTTTTTTTCTTAAAACTCACATGTTTACTCTAATTAATCAATTCAAGCTCCATGTCAAAGTTACAATATTTAAAGGTGTTCCAAGCCATAGCTAAAATAAACCATCAGATATTTAAAAACTCTACCAAATATATTGTCGCAAAGTGTAGGAAACTTTTTTATTTATTAAAAATGAATTTCAAAATCATTCAAACATTTACTGGCAATACATGATCTGTTTGGTGTAAAATAAGCGTACTGAGAAAAAGTCTTTCATGACAGGTCAAAGAAAGAAGATGAAGGATAAGCCTTTAAAGCCTACATTAAACATTACTTGAAGTTTTCCAGTTATTTTTTGATGAAGGATACATTTTCAGGGAAAGAGAGCGTGCGACAAGTTCATAGCGACATTGTTGTTATGTCTCATTCGTTTCATTCACCCCAACCACCCTCGTTGTTCATCTCGATTTTTTTCTACAACTTAATGTCACCTTGTACGTCTCATCGTCATTTTGTGGTTAACTTTGTCCCTCTTTTATACTCAAGATTTGAGTATGTCATCCAAACAGTTTGTTGATGTTCCCACAAAAAAAAAAGAAAAAAGAAAAACACTCTAATGCAGATGCCTTATTTGTAAGCCCACACATTTAGCATAAAGCCTGCAACTAAAAATGGTGCATTTTGATGAGCTAATGCCGTGCCAAGAAATTTCTATCAACCCGCTCTCCCATTTTGGAGCAATGTAAACTAAACTAAAAGCTGTCGACAACAAAAAGATGCAGGATGAGAATTTAAAAAAGTTTACGACTTCAGCTTGTAGGTTTCTTGCCAATGTGTGTGCTTTTTTTATATAGACATACCAAGCTTTTAAAATATAAATAAAAAGCTTTTTGATGCTATGAGCGAAACAAACTATAGTACAGCAATTACTTGATGAAAATACATGTCTTCCAACAGGTAGAAAATGGTAGATTCAAATAAAAAGTAATAATGCTGATATCACGGGGCTTACATTGATAAATTTCTCTTTTCGTTACTGCAAGAAACAACTGGGAATTATGGGAGCATTGCCAGCTTTAGTCCCTGCACAACAGTTTGGTTGCCAGGCCTTTTTAAACATTTTCGAAATAGCCACTGATGCATCTGTCTTACTAGTACTTTTTATAGCTTCATTTTTAATAGCCACTGATGCATCTGTCTTACTACTACTTTTTATAGCTTCATTTTTAATTTCATAAAACTATTTTCACAATTCTTTCATGTAAATTTTGCTTATCTGAGCACAGCATACACATCTTTGTTTCATTATGAGTTACAAAACAACTACAGCCTTTACATTTTTTCGGCATTACCAATGCTCTGTCAAGGTTCGACTTTCGTTGGCAACACTTCTCTACGCATCTTTTCTCTTATTCATGAGCCACAAATTAGGAAATAAAAATATCAGGAAACAGGACTTCTGGGAGCGGGACATGAAGAAAGCATCTTCTTTCTGATAGAATTTGCAAATTTTCTGACTCGCTTCCCTGCAGAAAACACAGCCTGAAACTACCCTGAGGAACACTGCACAACTGCGGGTGCTCATCCACATCGCTCACTTCCAAATGCAGGGCAGCTTTGGATGCCAGCAGGCATTGGTTCGAGGCTATTTGATAATCATTTTTCCTCTCGCACTCTCGTGCACCGTTTATTTGTTCCTTCGCAAGTTGGCTTAACATAACGACGACTGCCCGCACAGTTATCAGGTTCAGCAGTTACGAGGAAAACCATCGAGACCAAGATGCAGTCGCAACACAGGCACCTTGAAGGCAGCTGCCAGAATCGCGAGAGGCTGGAGTATTCTTGCACGGTTGGCTTTCTTTTTGTGAGATAGACAGTGCAGACTCAACCAACACAGATACAAGCTGTTTCAATTGTTACAACTGACCTCTCTTTCTGAGTCACTCTATGCATGTTCTACATTGCTAACCCATTCTTTTTCTCCCTCCCGTGGTTATGTATTGTCACGGTGGGTCTGTACATATGAGCAATACACAACTATGTATGTCTGTGTGTACATATATATGGACGCAGTCCACGACACCAAAGACGCACCGGTGGAAAAGCTTTGCAAATGAGACACGTACCGCTCGATGGCAGGAAATGCAAAAAAGATTAGGCAACCTATTCTATCAAGAGGATTCAAAGTTAAGCTAGCCTGAAAAAAACAAACATATTTTTGTATCGCCGCTTGCAAAACCTGTGTGTGTGTTTTGTTTGACGAAGTGAAAACATAGGTAGGCTACACAACTGCTGCATGTTTTCCCCCTGGCAAGTCACGTGAAACACTGTTCAGCTGTGACAGTCATAACCTCGGCACGCGTAAACAGGGGGCAGGAAGAAAACCTTTGTGGGAAACATTTGTTACACCAGGAAACTGGTCTAAGCTATTTAATTTCCTTTCCTCGGAAACGACCAACAGCTCTCAATTTGTTGAATGTGTGCAGCTTTTAATTTTGAAACACAGTGTACTTCGCAAAGGCAATATATAAAAGCTATTTATACTTATACATGCATAACAGTAATAATTGAGCATTTTATTAAAATTCAAGCGATGGAGAAATTATAACCTAATTGTAGTGGCATTAGTCCACAATACACAATAATTTGCATCCCACCTCAAAGGTGAATGTACCCTGGAAGAAAACATAGGGGTGTAACTGCTCTCTAAATAATGACCCATAAGAAACTTAATGAGCTTTGATGAAGAAGGAGCATTCTTCTGCACTAATTATGGCATTTCCATCTCCTCTTAAACTGCATAAGAAACCCTTGAACAGTGACTATCGTACAGAGCAATATTCAATAGGACAAAAGGAGTTATGCCTGTGTATATTTATCCATTTGCAAGAACACAATCCCAAAAGATTTGACAGTCTACACATATACACCTATTTACTGGAGTATACCATACGATCAGTCATTTCCCGGTTCGATACTTGTGAAGCCAGCAGTTCTGTCACACATATATATATATATATTCCTATATATAAATACAAACACACATACAAATACCTGGATGAGGAAGCATCCCATGTCTCTGCACATATGTTTGTACATAATGTATGTGTATATGTTCACGTCTGGAAAAATTCCATAATATCTGCCTTATATTGTGCTATATTTAAGCCACTGTGGCAAAGTCAACTCTTTAAGGGACACCACAGCTGGGTCTAAGAAGCAATATGATGTTACAAACATAATTGTATGTACATATATTTATATATATATTACCAACGTATATATATATATAAATATATTAGATTGTGATTGTCATGTGCCATGTGTGTGTGTTTCAATAATTGTTGTGCGACGCTGTAAGAAAAACAATTTTGGGGGAAACAATTCCATGCCACCATCTTCCTATTAAAAGACTTACATGTAAAGACTGAGAAGACTGAAGTGAACTGTGGCGTCAACTATGGCAATATACATAAATATACATATATATATAAATATATATACATAAAACAAAAAAGACATTCATATAAGCCTGCACTTCGATATGCACCGTAATCGTAAAGTCTCTAGTTACTTGCAAGCTATAGTATATGAACCTATATTACTGATGTACTGGCATGTAAACCTCACCTAAGAGCACCTGCTGTGTGAAAGTCACCTGAAGTCTCCAAGAAAAAAAATTCACATCAATGGCAAAAGCATAAATGTCGCTCCTTTCACTTTCTTCCCAAGTATTCATTCTCTCTGTGTATGCAGTGCTAGGTTTCCCGTTCTGTTTCTTGTTTCCCTCATAATTTTCTTAAACGCAATTTTTTTTCTTCTGGATGTCTAAACGACATTAATCAACTTCCCAAAACTGTTGAAGCAAGGGATGAAGGTGTTGGAATTCACGAGGAAGCAAGAATGTCACCGAGTTCAATTGGTACAGAAGGAGATTTGCTGTGGTGTACTTTTTCCCATGCACATTGGTTTGGTGAATCTGACGTCCACCCTCAGTCCATTCGTGTGTACACCGAAAACACCACTGTAGTGTCCAGGGGCACCCTCCACGGCCCGTTTTGTCGTTTCCGTGAATGCCATCTTTTGTTCTTTTTTTGAGCGAACTATGATTGCATTTGCTGCCACTTTAAGGCATTGTCTTCTATCATTGTCCTCTTGCCACTCTCTCCCCTCACAGAGGGTTGACGACGATTTTTTCCTACCAAACAACGAATTCATTTTATCGAAACGAAGAATCCAGCAACGGTCTCTGGAGACGTACCCGGCTCCTTTTCTCTTCTGTTTTGCAGTGTGTTTGTAAACACGTTGCCAACTACTACCTACAAGTTTTGTACAGGATTTTTGGTTAGACAAAGATCAGCAAGAAATCACAGTGAAGAACGTTGACTGTACAAAAAGTATACCTGCTGTACACCGTAGCTAGGATTTTTTACAATTCTGTTTCACGAGAGGGAAAACTATGTATAAAAATACTTGTTGCATTGCCCTTTATATGTATTTATATGTATACATGGAAGGGAGAACATGGAAAAACAAGATGAATATATTAGATATGGCAAAGCTAGACCTTGTTGTTCTCACTTTGCTTAGACATAGAGTTCTTTGAAACCAAAGCTGAACAGAGAAGCTACCAAACTAATATATATTTTACAAGGTGTGAATGGCAGGCATGCTTTTTTGGTATCTCGTCTGTTATCGCTGATGTTCTCGATGTGCGCTTCTCAGCGAGACTGTGTATGTGTGTGCCGAAAGAAAAAAGTGTCAGCCTGTACTGCATTTGTTTGCCCACTTTTAAGTTTGGGTTTATCATGCCCTCTTTACATCAACCTGATCGATTGAGTTTGCTTCATCGACAATAAAACCTGACTCTTGGTTCCGATGCCTGTGTCTTTATTTGTGACAAGTGTGTGCAAGTACCAATCATGCACTGCCACACTTCAGCCCTGAGGTAGACATTTCCTTTGTGTGAAATACTAGAGGTAGGGAAGAAAAAAATTCCCGCAGTAGTTTAGTGATACCTTACAAAGTCATTGGTAGTGTAGAATATGTTTTGGATCATACATCTTGGTGCAACTGTTCATATACCGATACTCATACCAGGACTTCCGATGTCAAAGCATACTTAGGAGAAGGGACAATAATGAGAGTGAAGCGCTACCTGTAAGGAAACCTGGCTACAGCTGTGATACTATAGTTCTTTCAGTCAATGCTTCGGCATCTAATGTTTTCATCAAGTCACCCTCACCAAACTGTTGTCAGTCATATGAAATTATTTAGAGTTTAAGCCTCATTCGTTTTATACTGTGTATTAACATGTAATGCTAACCACTTAGAAGCTTCACTTCCACTCATTACAGTTTAAAAACAGGCTCTTTAACCCCACCCCCCCCCCCTTTTTTTTTCAAGGCTTGGTAGCATAGTTTAATGCCACTTTGCAATTATACTTTACTGCATGGTATGTTGCACAACATTCAAGTTAGACGTACAACAAACAAATTGCAATATTGAAATTGTGTCCTGTTCCACCCGGTCTCAAGGAACCCCTCGAAGGTCGTTGCCCTGTGGTACGTACAAGCACTGCCAGTTATCTCTCATTTTTTCCAGTTCATTGTTACAGCTGGTTAAAGCTCAACTGAATTTGCAAATCTAAAGGAAAACTTGCTTCATGAACTGATTGTGTTTTGTTAAAATCTGATGATAAATTGGCACCATGCACAGCTGAAAACCTTCGATGGGGATAAGGAACAAGAACACGAATGAAATGATCTCGAGTTACGGGTGGACAAACGAAACACCAATATAGCAGAAATTGGAAGAAAAAGTGAAAGTCGTTTACCACTCCCTGTAACACCGAATTGGAGCGCAGCTCTTGAGGAGGAGGAGGGGAGGGTACTGAGGGCCACGTGTTCTCGGGGGGGGGGGGGGGGGGTCACGCGACCCCCCCCCTCCCGAGGGCACGTGACCTTGGTGGGGTCACGTGGGGGCAAACACGTGCCCCCTCAGAGGACACGTGACCTCGGGAGGGGGTCACGTGACCTCGGGGTGTCACGTGACTCCCCAGGTCCCGTGACCCCCCGGGTCACGTGACCAAAATTTTTCAGCTAGATTTAGCGAGGAAAGTTTTCTGCTAGATTTACCGGGGAAATTTTTTCCGCTAGATTTAGCGGGGAAATATTTTCCGCTAGATTTAGCGGGGAAAGTTTTCCGCTAGTTTGCGCTAGATTTATGGGGAAATCTTTCCGCTAGATTTAGCGGGGAAATTTTTTCCGCCAGATTTAGCGGGGAAATTTTTCCGTTAGATTTAGCGAAGAAATATTTTCCGCTAGATTTAGCGGGGAAATTTTTTCCGCTAGATTTAGCGGGGAAATTTTTTCCGCTAGATTTAGCGGGGAAATGTTTTCCGCTAGATTTAGCGGGGAAATTTTTCCGCTAGATATAGCGGGGAAATTTTTTCCGCTAGATTTAGCGGGGAAATTTTTTCCGCTAAATTTAGCGGGGAAATTTTTCCGCTAGATTTAGCGGGGAAATTGTTTCCGCTAGATTTAGCGGGAAAATTTTTCCGCTAGATTTAGCGGGGAAATTTTCCGCTAGATTTAGCGGGGAAATTTACCCATAAAGCACCGCGCGGTTACGCCGACGGCGACGGCGACGGCGACGGCGACGGCGACGCCGCTCAAGCCGGAAACGGGCGCCTAAGAGCTGCGCTCTAAAAACTCAAAAGGAAATTGCCTCTGACCGCCGATATTCAGCAGTGGGACAAACTGCAGAGCTTCATTGGACTGTTTCAGCAAAACGTGGACCGCCACTTTAAAACAACCCAGGATATTTTTTTCCAGTAATTATGTCTGCGTGACACAAATGCTGTACTAACAAATAAAACCGGAGGTAAAAGCCTGCTACGACTGCTCTTCTGAAGAATATCTTGACCCGACCCAATGGACTCCCCAAATATCAGCGCCCCCAGCGTTTCAGGTGCAGTGTCCATACATCAAAAGTGGTCCCGAAGTGGCAACAAATTACGTCACAGAAGCCGAAGTGTCATGCTGTTCATGTCGCTATCCTGGCGGTTGGTCGTAGAAATGCTAAAGAAAAGCTGCGAGTAGCACAAGCGAACGCGAGTGTCGCTCTCGTCACGGCGTCACAACGTCCTGCTGCCGAAACTTCCCTGGGCTGCTACGCTGGAGAGCGACCTACAGCAGAACAGGCGTTTGGCACATACACCACAGCTGTTGAGACGCCACCAGGATCGCGACTAACGACATGACACTTCTATGACGTCATCAGGCGGAAATTGAAGGACCTTTTTTTTTTTTCTTTACGCGGTAAATATACCAATCGGAGACACGTTCCAGGCGTGGTTTCAAGAACAGAGGTATTATAAGGTTCCAGGCACCCGAAGGCGCCATGGTTCAGGTGCACCCTGGAGAGCAGGAGACTGGCAAAGAATAGTTTCGGTTTTGATTTCGCCGGATTGTGCATCTGTCGTCTGCTATCGTCTACTCACCACCATGCTCACGTCGTCGTTGATTGCTCTATACTGACGCGCGATGCAGTAAGTACCCTTTTCTTCTCGTCGCTACGTATCAGACACAACCGAATAACGAAACAATTACTCAAAATACAGTGAGTGCGCAGGCGAGCTGGTGATAGTCATAATATCTAAAACCCGAGACTGTGGTAAGGAAAAAAAATAGGAAACTTTGAAGCTGAAGAAAAGGGCACAAGAGAAGAGGTCTCAAACGCAGCTAAATCGTGTATTTTCTATCAGCCACCGAGTGACCTCTTAGCAATGCTCAGTCATTTTTGATGCGAACATCACCAACTTCTCTCCCAGACACATCTTTTAAAACACAATAAGCATTGCCACCCTTCTATCACATTTCAACAAAAAAAATCGTTTGCACGGGGAGCGAGCGAAAACGCCGCTACGGCGAAGTCAAGTGAACATAGACCGGCGTGCGCCGAACGCCGTGTCAGTTCACTGCGTGCATTTGTTTGCAACATCGAGAATAGCCACTGACACTAGCATTCCAGTTTTATAACACCCTTTTTAGAACACCACAAGATAGCGACGCAAACGGTACCCGAACTGGAAACAATTTTCGGCCCGCGTCATTGCGGCCGGAAGTGCCCGGAATACCAAATATTACCCCTCCGCCACTTCGCCGAGCTTCACCCAGGAGTTCATATATAAAGGCAGAGGAAACAAAGACGACATGAAGTCATATCGCCTGATAACAGTAACTTCAGTTCTCTACAGATTAGCTATGCAGAAAGTGAAGCAAAGAATCGAGGAATGGGCAAAAGATATGAAAATACTGTCTGAGCTCCAAAATGGATTCCGAAGAAAAAGAAAACTAGAAGATTTGAAGAAACCAAAGCCCTTTATGGTTAACTTATTTGGACATCAGTAGAGTGTACGATAATGTTAGCCAGGAAAAGATCTGGAGTCAGCTGATGCAAATTGGGTTAGGTTTCTCCAGCAGGTGTACACAGATAATAAGGTAGTTATAACATGAGAAGCAGAAACTACACAACCCGCAGCAATAAAAAGAGGGCTCAGGCGCATCTGTCCATTGTCACCCCTACTCTTTATGATATATCTCAGTGAAATTAAAAAAAAAATAGAGCAGAGCAAGTTAGGTTTCGATGTGAGTTATATGGAAGGAGGGAGAAATGTAATGCAGATAATACCAGGACTGATAATCCAGGTGACATAGTACTCGTGGCGGATAACCAGGATACATTACAGGAACTATAGCTGGAATATGTGAAGAGAAGGGGACACCTTGGCCATAATTTTTAATAGTGACAAGTCCGGCGTAATGGTGCTTAACGACGAAGAAAGGAAACCCTTGAGGATACAATACATTGTATTAGAGATTAGACCATGTAGGGAAATACAAATATCTGGGAGTCAGGCTCATTGAGGGAAGGAAATATACAGATGAATATCAAGAAAATATAATTAGAAAAGGGAGAATAAATTCATCTATTATGAAGCTCAAAGCACTATGGAACTATAATAGATATGAAGTGGTCAGGGGTATATGGAAAGGAGTGATGGTACCAGGACTTTCTTTTGGCAATGGGGTACTGCGCATTAAATCAGAGGTTCAATCAGGATTAGAAATTCGACAAAGCGTAGGCAGATCGGCACTGGGAGCACAAACAAAACACACCAAATGAGGGCGTGCGGAGAAACATGCGCTGGGCGTCTTTTGAGAGCAGGGAGGCAGTTAGTAAGTTGAAATTTAGACAAAGGGTAAACTAACTTAAAATTTAGACAAAGGTTAACCGAAATGGATGATACGCGGTGGGCACGGAAGGTATTCAAGTAGTTATACATGAAAATTTTAAACATAAAATGGACAAACCGAACCCGAAAGCTTACATTTAAATACCTACACACCTGAGCAGACTACTTCAGTGGAAAAGGGGGTGAAAGAGGCAGAAAAGAGAATATGAGGGAAGAATGCAGAAAAAAATCAGCTCAGACAATGTACAGGTCACAAAAACAGTACATAAGAAAGGAAAATATGTTTGACAATTCACTGGGAACTTCTGTACTGTTTGAAGTGAGAACGGAGTTTTGAGGACAAGGACGTATAGGGATAAATTTCAGGAGACAGACACATTATGTGCCGCATGCCATAATGAGAGCGAGACACTAGAGCATGAAGTCCACGGAGCTTCGCCCTGCCCTTCCTGAAGGGGTAACAGATTTGGCCGGGGCTGGCGAGGATCGAAGGACGGAAGAGGAAAGGATTAAATTCACAGAGGGGTGGTTAGAAGATTGGAGTAAATTATCTAGGGAAAATTGAATGATGCACAACTAGCACAGCTGGGGACAGGCGGGCCAGAGGAAAATTGGGACTC